ATCACGAAACTCGAAATCCGAAGATATCTAATTGTTGAAACCAAATTCCGATTTTTGCTTTAATCTGTACCTTCTAAGAATTGCAAGGCAAAACAGACGTTGATATAGATATAATTAAAAAAATAGGAAATCTAAAATTATATTCCACAACATATCTCCTCAACTAAGTAAAAATCCTTGACAAATTAGTTTCTAGTATATTCTCTTTATGATGCCTCGTATAGTTTCTCGTCAAAACTAACCTGCTATCTCTTGCGAGGAATATTTGCGATCTATTTATTTACCCATTTTAGACAATATCTTAACTGATTTAAAAGAACGACTTTCACCGAAAGTTATGAATCTATTTATTCTTAGAGTTGTTTACCCAAAACTGATAACACATCAGAAGATAAATTTGCATTAACAAAAATTACCTTCCAAAATTGTATTGCATATTTACCGTCTAATTATTCCACAGTAGAACAAGAGTTTTCATTGTGGATTTAAAAGTGGAAAAGTGGAAAACTTAGTGATTCTATTTTAGAAGTATTAGAAAACTGTGATATTCATATGTATCCAAATATCAGAATATATCTGCAAATATTCATTACACTGCCAGTCAGTGTAGCAACAGCAGAGCTTAGTTTTTCTGCGCTTAAGCGTCTAAAGACTTGGCTTCGAAATAGAACTTCAAAGTTAACTAGTTTAGCACTCATCAATGTGCATCCTGAAATTTCTCTACGTGTTGATGCAATCATAGAGCGATTTGCTAAATCGGGTAGGCAAAAAGAACACATTTTATAAAATTATGTAATATTTACTTATCTTATTCTGATAGTATTTTTATTCACAGAACTTTTATTTACCACTCGTTGCCGGCTGTTGCTGACAATTAGTGAGAAAAATTTTAATACCGAGTAAGATAATATTTCTCTCACTTGTAGCCTATAAGCCCAATTATAGAATTGACTATTCTTAAATTATATAATGTTTTTGTTGAATAAACTAATCTAAATAAAATTCTGCTTATCCTTCTTCTTAAGGTTCCTTCTTCATTACAAATGGGTAAAAGTAAAGTTCGTGTAACCTTCTGGCTGTCTTCTTCTTAAGGTCTTCTTAAGGCTAAGTCTAACATGACTTCGACTGTTTTCGTAGCCGGGACCGACGGCTTTACGTGCCCTGCGAAAAACGGTGGTGGCTCAGTTAAATTAGAAATTGAAAAGTTTCTCGGTGCTGGGGTTCGAACCCGGGCCCTCCAGCTTGTTAAGCCAGTAACATAGTCATTGAGCTATGGCTGCTACTACGGAAGGGTGACTATAACTGCAGCAAATTGTTCCCTATCATAAGCTGTACTTAGTATCGATATCGATACTAAGTGTGTACATGCCTGTCCAGTCTCTTACATTCTTCAGCCAGTAGCATTTTCTTCTTCCTAGGCCTCTTTTTCCTTCTAGTTTCCCTTTCATTATGAGCCACAGAAAGTTATATTTTTCTCCTCTGTAAATATGTGCTAAATAACTCGTTTTATTGTTGTATACAATATGTAGGAGTTCCCTCTCAGTCCTCATTCTTCTCAGCACCTCGTTGTTGGTCACGTACTCTGTTCATGAAATCTTCAGCATCCTTCGAAAAACACTCATTTCAAAGGCTTCTATACGCCTAATACTTGTAATTCCGAGAGTTTATGTTTCCCCTACGTATAGCAATAAGGAATAAATGCATGTTTTTACAAATTGATATCGGATATCCAACGATAAGATACAGTTTATTAGGAATGTTTAACAAATTCATTATCGTTTACACTTACATTGATATTGCATTTAGATTAGTTTGGTTGATATTTATTTATCCTTGGTTTTGTCTTCATTTTGTAGCCATATTATAGGTGGGTTTAAATTAATTGTCTTTAAAATACTTAGTTTAAATTGACAGTCCTTAATTTTTTAATATTTATATTTTAATAACTTTCCTTTGGTTTAATAGTCTTGCACACTTGATTTTACTGTCATGTGAGTGTAAATTGTTTTTTTTTTGTTTAAGTTTAAGTTTAACTTTGAGACCCCTTAATGTTTAGGATATTTGGGTTTTAATAACTTCTCATGGGTTAAATATATATCTTAAAATAATTATTGAGAAAATGGTTAACTTACATGAGCCACAAATCATATCAATCGTAAAGGTGCAAAAATCTAAATCCTATATCAAAATTACCCCCAAGACCCATGACCCCCTCTTCTCCGACAAAAATTTCGGGGGTTACCTCTATCAAAATCAATACCCATGACTCCCCCCCCCCCCCCAACCCGATAAAAATTTCTGGATCCGCCTGTGTGTGAATTTTTATTTGAATCATTTTTCTCTAAAATGTAAGAGTTTTATAGGCAAAACATGATCTTGTCAATTTTTATGATTATTGAAAAAACAAAGCAAAATCAGCTGTACGTACCTCTACAGGGTTTTGTCATCAACTACCTCTCATACACTTTTGAAAACCTTCAAAAACCTTTGTTTTTTTATTGATTCTTAGGTGAAGTCGATGATTTTTTTTTCAGATAGACTAGGATATTTAGTTATAGTTGATTTTTAGACCTACCGTTCCCGATACTTTAGTTTTAGTTTGAGTTATAGTTTAGTTATAGCTTAATAGTGTGAGAATTTACACATCTATTTTTAGGTAAATAAATAAATCAAAACCACTAAACAACTATTTCTTCTATACAAAGCATATTTTTTTATTTTATTTTTTAAAATAAATGTCAACCGAAAAAACTTTTGAACTTTCAAATTTTAAATATAAATTCTACATTTGTTAATGACTTTGATTTGGTGACCCTATTTCTTTCGAGTCCAAAGAACGAAACATATATGGGTAAGAATGAATAGGAGGCAATATAATTTAATTTGCCATAACGGGTGTAGCCTTTAGAAAGAAGCGCCCGCCGCCCCTACATGTCATTGTACTTTTTCCCTTTTGCAACTTGGTCGCAGCTTGTATGCACCAATAGCAGGCCAAGGCCAATGAGTTAGGTCTATATTCTCTTTCAATTCTCACATGAAAGTAATAATTGAAAGTATCTTACCCAAGGGATGTGTGTTCAAACCGATAGGGCGAGAAAACAAATTATAATGGCGAGATGGAGTGTCTTTCAGTCTGAGTAAACACATAAATAGGCACATAAAGGGTAAATTAAAAATATATGCGATTTTTCTAAGAATTTTTCACCATTCAAATTGTTAACTGGTAAAATTGTTTGATTACAAAAATTTTTCAATTTTTTTTATTATAAAAATATACAGGATTCATTAAGAATATCCAATGTCTGAATTGTAGATTACAGGCCTCAAAATATGATAATTCTGCTTATGATGATTTCACAATTTCTATTTAAAATCTGAGAATATTAAGTTTTTTTTGACATAAGGTTTGCTAATTTAGACTCTAATTTAGCATTGTTAATAGAATAGAGGGCGTCATTTACACTTGGTTTTGTTTATTAAATCAAAGCAGTTTTTGTTCGGGTCCACTATGGAAAAATAATACAAAATGAAGAATTGTTAAATTCTACAAAAAAAAAAGTTACTCTTGTTTAATTTATGTAATTCGGTCGATTATCGAGTAATTTGATTCTAGAAAACCCAATGAATTTTAAATTTACAATAAAAAATTTTATTCTCTAAATGTGTAACAATAACAAATTAAAATAATTGAAGACATGAGTTGATAAAGGTGTTATGTCCATTTTTTTCAAAAAATGACTTATTTGTATATTTGGTTACCCAAAGTCGTAATACAACCCCTGAATAACTCAAGATTCTTAAATTGTTAATAATAAGAATTATTTTAATTGATAAAGGTACTATGTCCATATTTAAGGACATAGCATCTTTATCCACTAGATAGTGGAAAAGTTTTATTTACATGGTAGGTGCCATTGACATTTTAAGGTTATGTTTGTTGTTTATCACATCTTTCAACATGGGTTCGAGAAGTAAAAGAATGTTAGAATTAGTAAAAAACAAGAAAATATGTGTTTCAAATAAAGAGAAGTCCGAATAGAGAATTTTTTTGTAGATAGAAACTGTATTTTGTACTTCTCTAGAGGTCAATACCAATGCGGTGATTTTGGAGCAGCCAAGCACTAGTGGACTTCAAAAGAAGGTCAACTCTAAAGCAGGTATTAAAAAATTTTTTACTACCTTTATTAATTAATCATCTCTTTTTAATAACAATTTACCCCCTCTGCAATTCAATTTTTTATTTACAAAAATATAGATATAATATACATTACTTAAGTTATTATTACATACATACCTACCTATGTACATGAATAAAATTTTTAGACTATATGGATACTAATTGTACTGATGGAAGTTTTACATCAGGCAGCGAATATTCCTCTTCCAGTGATGAAAATTCAGAAGAGGATTCTGATAACTCAAATATTTCTTATTCGACGAGTCTCATAAACAAATATCCGAATGTTGATAGAGGCAAACGTAAAATGTTTTCTGATAACCAAAAAATTAAAAAGGTAAAGCTAAAAAAAGTTAAGATTAAGAAATAAAAATAGAAATTAGAAATAAGTATAAATTTAATAAATAACTAAGATATTTTTAAGGTTCCAAAAAACAGCAGGGAAACCCCGGATAGGATTGACGAAGTGCAGGAAGAAATACCTCGGGAAATACGTATAGAAGACCATAACCAGCAATGCCATGTTACTGCCGATGAAATGGGTAGAAGAAAAATTGTTAAACCAGTTTTAAAAATAACTAAAAAAAGAGTCCGGAAACGAAATAAAGCTGCAAGGTTAAGACAACAAGGTAAAGAATATATTTCTCAAAAGACTGGTAAAGTGATGGAAGAAAAAACAATTAAAAGAGATTTACTGTGTAAAGAAAAATATAGACTAAACTGTGCTGAGAAGTTTAGTATTGCAATCAAAGAAGAAATTCTAAGAAAATTTTATAAGCTAGATACAAATTCCAAAAATATTTTAATTTTTAAAAGTATTAAGATGCAGGAAGTTAATCGTCACCGCCCTCGTAAAAATATAAAAACGAAAGCTTACAGCTTTAAATATTTTATTACGTGTGATAAAGAAAATACACTAGTGTTCAAAGATGCTTTCTGCTCTTTATACCGAATTGGACGAAAAAAAGTCTTTAAAGCTCAAAATGACTTAAAATCTGGCCAGGTAATGCCCTCACCACATAAGCAAGGGCATCACAAAAATCCAAAAAAAATATCCGATGAAGTAATAAACTGCATTGAAAATCATATCAAGCAGTTTCCTTCAGAAGAATCACATTATTCTAGGACTAAAAACCCACATAAAAAATACCTTTCCCCTTTACTAAATATTAACCGACTTCATCAACTGTATATAGAGGATTGTCAAACAAAAAAGCTCGAAACTAAATATTTCGTAAAGGCTTTTTTTTACAGACATATATTTGAAACAAGGTTTAACTTATCTTTTGGTGTACCAAAAAGTGATACTTGCAGTTTATGCGATGCTGGAGAGAACTCTTTAGAGCACTCGAATAATTTTCAACTTGCTTTTGCGCAGCAGAAAGTTGACCACGAAGCAGTAAAATTTTCCAAAGAAAAATGTTACATAGCAATGGATCTTCAACAAACGATACCTTTGCCAAAGCTATCAACGTCAAAATCTTTTTACTTAAGACAAATATGGCTATACAACTTTGGAGACCACTGTTTAACCAGTTCTGGTCATAAGTCCTATTTTTTTACATGGACTGAGGATATTGCCAATAGGGAAAGTAATGAAATAGCAAGTTGTTTGCTACGATTTTGTCTGCTTCTTAAAGAAGGAAATCCCCAAATTGATCATTTAATAATTTGGTCAGATCAATGTGGGGGACAAAACAAAAACTTCTCCATTATTAACCTTTTTCAATACCTAATATTAAATAAAATATGTAAGATCATTGATCATAAATTTCCCGAAGTTGATCACAGTTACCTTGACTGTAACAGAGACTTTGGAAGAATAGAAAAGGTTCTTAGAAAACATCAGAATATTTATATACCAGACCAATATCGGGAAATTATTAGATCTGCGAGTACCAAACAAAGTGTATGCCTTAACATGAAACATTTTTCTTATTGCTTTGAAACTCTACCTGCAAAACTTCATAACAAAAAACTCACTAATATTCTTGACCAAAAAATAAATTTTCGAGATAAAGTGAAGTGGCTAAGAGTAAGTTGTTTTCGAAAATACTTGTTTAGATCCGTTTACCCCATTTATCGAAGTTGACTTACAAAAAAAAAGAGAACTGATTGTACAAAGTAATCAAGTTGTTTTACAAAAGTTACCTAAATGCGGTGGTTTGACTTCTGAAAAAATTTCAAATCTACAAGATCAACTTACGTTTATTCCAGCAGAGTATAAATGGTATTATAATATTGTTTTAGAAGAATGTTTGAAAAACCCTAAGAAAAAACGTAATTCATGTTAAATTTAAATGTTTCTGTGTCTTTGTTTATAAATTTTTAATGTATCTTACTTTGCTTTTGTTAATCAGCAAATAAAATTTAATTTCCATATTATTTAATAGTTTTTTTTTATTATTTTTTTTAAATTTAAATACAACATAGGTAACATAACACCTTTCTCTACTCAAGTTTATACCAACATCTGCATAAAATGTTGGTTGATTAAGGTGCTATGTCCATTAAAATTAAAATTACTAAAAAAGTTTAAATTCTAGAAAAACAAAAAATATATAAAAAAGTACAAAACGATTCTAATCTAATAAGATATTGGTAATTTTTATAAAATTTATTTAAAAAAAATATATAAGTGAAAACGCGTTTCCTTCAATTACTCAATATCTGAAAAAGTGGACATGGCACCTTTATCATCTCATGTCTTCAATTAAAGAAAAAAAAAACAAAAACCTTTAAAGTAAATGTTCAAAATATCCACCATTTACTTCAATACACTTTATGATCCGATTTCGCAAGGATTTCTTAATATCAAATAACACTTTTCTATTAGTTTTATTAAATTCTAAAAGATAAATAATTATTTTTTGTAAACTAATGCCTTAAATCCGAAAACTGTTGAAAGTACTGATGAACTTCTAAAGAATAATGTGGTGGTGTAAATGTTCTTGAAGAAAATCTAAATACAGAGGTTCATTTAAATTGGTTAGCAGTTCAAAACAACCTATTAAAGAGTCACATATTACACCACACCAAATGTTAACCAAGTCGTGCTGAAAATGGGATCCTCTCTTGGCATCAGGATTCTCAGAACACCACAAATGATTATTTTTCCAATTAAATATTCCTCATCTGGTAAATGTTGCCTCATCGTTAAAAATAATTATATCCAGAAAATCGTTTTTATTATTTTGTTTATCTTGTAAAAATTTATCAAATTCTAGACGCGCAGGTAAATCTTAAGGTAGCAAATTCTGAACGGGTGTGTAATGATATGGATGTAATTTTTCCCTCTTCAATATTTTAAAAACAGACGATTGACATATCCCTGTTGCCAGACTTCTTCTTCATCGACAGTAAGAGTTTTTGTAGCTTTGTGTTGACTTTTGGGACGTAAAAACCCCGTCTCACCTAGGCGGTTGTAAAGATTTCGAAGCAGTTAATAGTTGGGTTTCCTTCGATTCGGGTATACCTAATTGTGAATATCTTGGAGCCGCAGCAGTGCCACTGCAATATGATTGAGGGACCACAAATCATATGCGCATTTTATTATGGGAAAAATCATTATGCCTAGGCATTATTTGAATAACTATTTTTCTTATTACTTACTTAATTGTTAAAAAATGATAGGGTAAGTCCGGGAGAGATGGACCACCGGGGGAGATGAACCAGTCCATTATTTCCAAACTGTATTGTTGTTAATATTTGTCAAGGAGAACGTCATTGTCTGTTTTGGTAAGTCCAAAAGTTTTTTAACGCAGTAACATAGTTTTAGTTTGCAGTTTAAGTTTACGTGATATCGACGTAGGATACTTGTAGCGATATCAATAAACATGTAGGTAGTAACCTAACCTAAAAAGGCGTACATTAAAAATGCGAATTATGAGGTGGTCTATCTCAACTGGACTTTTGGGAGAGATGGACCAGTACGTTTTGGTAGATATGGGCCACATATTTCAATACGGGAGAGATATACCAGTACCAACGTTTTTAAATGTTACTTTTCTTAAAACGACTGTTAGTATAATTACTAACTAAGTAGCTGGTATTTCTCTGTTTCAGAAAAATGCCAACTAAGAAAGGATACCAGTAGAGGGGCGTGGACGGAAGATGCATTAATGCAAGCGGTTAATGCGGTGGAAAATGAAGAAATAGGTGTCAATGCTGCTGTTAAAGCTTATCAAATTCCTAAGACCACTCTTAAATGAAGGATTAAAAAATAAAAGTTAACGAAGAACAGCTTAGGGTTTTCTTCATTTTAGGAAGAGTAAATGAACAGAAGATTGTAGGCCACATAAAAAAGTTATAAGCTCATGGTTTACTCCTAAGCAATGATTCAGTTAGAAGCATGGCGTTTGAACTTGCTGAAGAGCTAAAACTACCTCACAAATTCAACAAGGAAACTAGAAAAGCTGGTTATGATTGGCTAAACTCTTTTCTTTTAAGAAATCCTACTCTTACTATTAGAAAATCAGAAGATGTATCTGTATCCAGAGCTAAGGGAATGAATACGAGGTTTGTGGAAAAGTACTTTAAGTTACTCGAAAGTGTTACTTTGGAAAACAATTTGGTTGAAAAGCCTGGGCACATTTTTAACATGGACGAAACCGTGCTTTAATTGCACAACAAGCCAGGAAATGTTGTTGCCATTAAACCGTTTTTGTTCTAGCTTGTGCTAGCGCTGATAGCTTTCCCCATACTGCATAATGAAGGGCAAGAAAGTTGAGTTCATGGACGGGATGCCTCCTGGCTCAGTTGTAAAAATGTCACAAAAATCTTCTTATGTCACTGATGAAATTTTTCTGCACTGGTTAAAAAGTCATTTCCAACCTAGAAAACCAGCTGGGAAAGTACTTATCTTACTTGATGGTCACACTTTACACACCAGTTCCTTAGAAGTCGTAGTGTACACGGAGCAAAAAGGAATCATTTTGATGAGCATTCCACCCCATACTTTGCACTGGCTACAACCTTTGGACCGATCCTTTTTCAAATCACCTAAGTCCTACTTTTATAGTGCAAATAATCCATCTAGAAAGATCAATCGTCTGCAGTTTAGAAAACTTCTCAACTCTGCATGGACCAAAGCTGCACGTGTACAAAACGATGTGAGTGGATTTCAAGCTTGTGGCTTAGTCCCTCTAGATATGTTTGTAATACCAGCCTACGCCTACCTAGAGACCGATCATTCCGGTGCAGTGCCCATTGTGCAAGTATTGGCGCACACTCTCGCTGGTGCACCAACCGGCGAGGTTGATCCTGTTGCCTCCAATGCAGAACTTATCGGCCAACACGTCAATGCTGTAACTAGTGTGCCATCAAGTGACACTGTTGACATTTCTGTCTCCTGTGTAGTACCAAGAACTCAATTTGATCCGGCTAGTATCCCTAGTACTTTTAGTAGCCTTACACTGTCAAAAATGACTCCTTTTAAACTTCTAGAATATATATCACCTGTCCCTTCTTTCACGCAGAAAGTAACCATTACGAGATGTTTGACGACTGTTTCAAAAGTATTAAATTCAGCTCAGAACATTGCTGTTATAAAAAGGAAAGCAGTTGAGCAAGTTATGAAAGATAAACAAAAAAAGAAAAAGAAACAAAACCAACTGAGAAAAAAAATTGAATCAAAAAAGAAGTTTATCAAGCCAAAAAAAGAACCATCTGGCAAAGTGACACAGTTGGAAAGTTTAGATTTAGAGAGCTATGATTCTGCAGATCTAGTCCAAAATGACGGTATGTCAATAGAGGATGGGATGAAGATGAATGTGTGGGATGTGGAGAGGCTTACAATAAAACTACAAAAAAAAGACTGGGTGAAGTGTGTACAGTGTTCTCGGTGGTTTTATGAAGGTTTCTCTAGATTTGAAGTAAAATGTGACTTTTGCAGTACCAGGGAAATAATGTCATAAAAAGGGAAGTTTTTCATTAATAGGAATATTGTGGTCAAGAAAGCAAAAGAATAGACTTGTTTGTTTTTTTATTTGGTTATTGTAACATTTATTATTATGTAAAATATACATATATTTTACTTTATACTTCGTTTGTAGTCATGGATCCTACTTGTTTTTCCCTGGTCCATCTCTCCCAAGCTACTGGTCCATCTCACCCAGACACGTCCGGGTGAGATGGACCATGCAAAGTTTTGGAAAAAATGCAATGTAGCCTTTATTAATAATATTCAATTAGAAAGTAAACTACCAACAAAACATTCCTAGTGACTACTACCAACAAAACAAGCGCAGAAATTAAAAAACGAATAAATCTTACAAATAGGGCAGACTATGGACCCTAAAAATGATTTCACTCAAGAAACATCCAAAGAAGAACTAAAATGTGTATACAAAAATCACTGCTGAGGCCGATCCTCGCATATGGGGTAGAAACACGGATTCTAACGCAGATGTATAAAAGATTATTGAAAAAAATAAAAAAAAAACAAATAATCGTCAACTTGAGACAAACAATTTGCTTCTCTAAAGTCGGTTTACCAGGAACTTATAGTACTAAAATTATTAAAATAATTTTTCAAACATTGGTTTAAGATGATTTTTGTCATATTTCTTTAGGCGGGTATTAAACCACTAATATATTTAATATACGTTTTTGTTGCAAAATTCCTATGGAGACTAGGAATTAACCTATTTGAATGGGAAATCTGTTACTTGATTATTATCATCAGTCCATACAAATTTGATTATAGCTATACGAACCCAAATTTATATTTATGCGTAAATTTCTCTTGAATAGAACTTTTCCGTAAGCGATCGCCAAAGGAATGTAATCATATAGCTCAAATTAGTAGGCATCAAGTATAAACGAAGAACAATCGCCTCCAGTTAAGAAAAATGAACTTTATTAACTGAGCGAGTTCTGACAAAAAAAAAATTAAAACATTTGAATCGGTATTTATATTGTTTAATACAAGTTGATATAATGTTTTTCTAAATAAACAAAACAAAGTCAAGATAAGAATTTCGGTGTCACTGCTATTGTTCAAGCAGGGGTGGACTAAGGAATAAGCAACCTAGGCACGTGCCTAAGGCCTGCAAGTTTTAGGGCACGAAAATTAGGTTTCTAATTTTTTAA